AAATATTCTCTATTTCCTTCATCCAGGAAGAAAATAAAATTATTCTCTACCTTAACAACAAAAAAAAACTGAGCATATTTGATTGTTTCCCCAACAAAAAATAAAAGACATCACATCGTCAGAATACCAAGTTGAAGAATTGAAGGTATGTTCTTAGATTTATAATAAATTTTAATTTTTCTTTTAACTTATGAATTAAACTTCACCATAGTTTTAAAGAAAAATATATTGATCTTCATATAAATATTTTTGACACAAGATGTATGTATATGTATTTTATAACACACAATCACTATATAATTTGAACTACAATATCATGGAGCATTTAACTGTGGCTCTGATACCATTGAAAATATTTAAACAACATTTACTAAAAGATTTGAACTACAATGTTTACTTATTAATTTTAATAAGGTGATTATTAACGTTCGAACAGTTACATGTAACTGTTCCCGCCCCTTTTTTAAATTATTACTTATCCTTTTCTCTCTTTTTTTTTATTAATTCAGAAAAAAATTCTTGATTTGATTTGGATCGGGTAAATCCACATGGACGACTCAAATTCAAAACTTACAAAGAACGGTGAACTAATTCAATTTGATGGAAAAAAAGAAAAATGAAATAATTCTTTAAAATGAATATAACAACTTTATTACAAATATATTACATATACATAATCTGTCGTTATTTCTTGTAATAGATATTTTTGGTGAATCTCTTTTATGACTATAAAATTATTATTATTATTATTATTATTATTATCAATATTTATATTCCTCTAGAAAGTATATATAACATATAATTATCAGCCTAAAAGATATATTAGTACAAAATACAACCCAACACTTTAGCCATGAACTTTAATAATTGACATTGAAAAACGCAAGCGAACTAAAAATATTTTTTTTTGCATTAATTTAAAAGGATGTTATTTATTTTTTTGAGGCGAAAATTATAATATCAATAACATATTCTGTACTATTTAACAAGTGTAATTTCTAAAAAGGTAAAATATGCATCGAACTTATCTCTATCTCATATGGTAGAGAGGTTATTTTTGAAAAGTCATTGGCTTAAGTGCAACAAAACAAAGTTGTTACAATAGGAAAATACGACAGTGAAAAAAATATGTCAATTAATATGAAACACAATATAGAACATTTAAAAGAACTCAAATACCTAACAATGTTCGATCCTATATGAAACACAATAGACAACAGATGGTAAATAATATCAAAAGCAAGAAAGTACATCTCTACAATAATACTACGATAGATACGGTGTTGCCACACTTCCCCGGTAACCTAATCCCACCAAAAAGTGAGACAAAATTCAAATACCTACCAACATTCTATCCCAATTCGCAACCTGCATACTATCCTATCTAAGATCATGTCATCAGTATACTAAAATTGCTTGTCTAATCATCTTTTCCCAACATTTCTTCGACGTGCCTCAACCACTCTTCATACGCATTATATCAATCTCTAACACCTTCTTATTGAGGCTTCTACGCATCTCCTTTCCGCATGATCAATCAAGACACATCAAGGCACATAGCATCGCCACAACAACTTTATTAACATTTAATTCACTAGAAAACTTGTCAAACAACGTTTAATTTGGTTAATTCACACATATCAAGCCATCAACGCAATTTGATCCTAAATTTTTGACAAATTCATTGTCAAACTTCTTAGGACGCAAAAGTCAACAAGCCAATATATACACATCTACAATTAAAATCCACGAATATGCATCTCTTTTTGTCTCTCACTATTTGATAAGAGACCCATCTTCCAATCGATTCCGAAAAAAAAAGTAAATATAGTATTAGTACTTTCATGTTATATTAGACCAGACAAACTTTGAAAATCAGCGTAGTTTGAAAAATGATTTCAAAAATATATTTTTGGTTGTGAAATAGTATATTATATGCAAAATATTTGTCAACATCAACCTCATTTTAATTCCATCTATATCTTTATTATCATGTTTTCCCAAAAACTTAGACCTTTTCATATGAGGTATTATTAGTGATTATGTTTTGGACTTTTATACACGTGTATCACATAAATATTTTTAGTTAGTAATGTACCGTATACATATAAAAGAATAAGCATTTATATACAACTAAAAACAATCGACTTTTAATGCCATTTGAAGGGAAAACATGATTTTTTAAATGTTGATAACAACTTTATATACATATACATATTAATATTCCTCTAGAAAGTATATCATATTATCAACCTAACAGGTATATTAGGACAAACACAATCCAATATTTGGTTCTCTTAGGCTTTTGGCTGCGTGCTTTAGTTATTTTAACTTAAAAACACAAGCGTACGGAAAAAAGTAAATTAATTTAAAAGGATGTTCTTTATTTTCTTGAGGCAAAAATCATAATAACGTTAATAACATACTCAGTATGATTTAACAAGTGGATCAAGGCATGTAGAATCGTCACAATAACTTTATTAACATTTTACGAAATAGGGTCTAAAATACCCTTGAAGTATTGAAAATGGTACAAAACTATCCTTCATCCACCTATTGGCTCCAAAATGTCCTTTTCATCCACCTATTGGCTCCAAAATACCCTTGTCATCCACCTTTGAATTCAAAATTGACCACTTATTTAATAATTCTAAATTTATTCTATTTAAATATTTTTAAAATACTTGATGTTCAACTATTGATTATAATTTAATTTATTTGTATTATTTATAAACCGATCCACTACCCACCTATTACTAACTAAACCCATCCAATTAATAATCCAACTATAATATCAAAATCGTCATAAACACTACTAAAACATGATTAAATTATAGATTAATGAAAATGACATCCAAAATTATTCGAGTCCGAATCGAAGCCCCAATTAAATTTATGTTGAGCCATTTATTTAGGAGGACACTTTTAATTTGATTCTCTTTCAAGATTTAATTAGAAATTTATGATTAAAGGTAAAGAAGTAATACATCCCAAATTAATTCATGCACTTTTTTAAAATATAATTTTATTAATATTTATGATTTGTTTTAAAACTTTTAATATATTATTTTGAAAAAAAGTTACCTGTGAAGTAACCAAACATAATTGGGACGTAAGAATAATTAAGATGAACAAAGTCAGACTTTTAAGTTTATCGGTAATTTTTATTTAGACAATTGAACGTATGATAAATAACTTTTATAGATATTTTCGTCTCAAGTTTTTTAAAACACTCAATTGGCAGTAGCTTTTCTATTGTTACATTAATAATGTGAGTGATTTATTACTTTGGAGGGTTTAATTAGTAATGGATGGGTAGTGGATTGAGTTATAAATTATACTAATAAGTTAAATTATAACAAGTTGAGCGCCACGTATTTAAAAAAATATTTTAATAGTTTAAATATAAAACCGTTAAATTAGTGGTCAATTTTGAACCAAAAGGTGGATGACAAGGGTATTTTAGACCTAATAGGTGGGTGAGAAGGTATTTTGGAGCCAATAGGTGGATGGAGGATAATTTTGTACCATTTCCAATACTTTGAGGATATTTTAGACCCTTTTCCGAACATTTTATTCCGTAGGAATGTTCAATTTAGTTGATCAACATATATCAACTTGCAATTTGTTCCTAAAATATAGACAAATGCATAATCAAACATCTTAGGACATAAGATTACCTTAAATTAACCCATTTAAATTATAACTCCTTTTTATTAAATAGTAACAACTAATTAAATTCAAAATAATTACTTGCAAGATTAGCTTATTTGACAAAATCGATCATTCTTAAAATAAAACTGGTATGAATTATTAACTAATTAATTTATAAATTTTCCTATTTTTGAATAATGTACGAAAATATTTGTTTGCAATAACAAAAACTATACTTAGTTAGAAAAATCAAATTGACCCTTAAGAACGATAATTATTTAACATAAATTTTAAAATGAGAAAGTTAGCGGTCTTAATTATTTAATGTAATATATTAATATTTAAATTTGTATCCAGATTGAGACTTATAAATCTAAATGTAAAGCTTAATGTGCATTTAAACTTAGTTGTAATATAGATAGAGGAGTGGTTATGATGGAGGGACGGTTTTATCGGTTAGATAATTAATTTTGTAGAAAATTATTCAGCTCCATTGAGGAGACAAAGATGCAAAACCATTCAAATATTCACAAACTATTTTATTTTGTTTTCCCCTCAAATTTATTGTCTTCTCTTTTTACAAATTTTTGCTTCATCATTTTATCTACATTTAACTTTCTCTAAAAATACGATTTTGGATTCTAGGTTTGTATTTTACATTTGATCCAAGTATATACCATATAAGTTAGAGGTGATCTTCCTTTCTTCTTCTATGTTCTGTTTTGAATTTTATGTGTGATTCTCATTGCTCTAAATTGGAGGCATTCACTATATCAAAACTCATATTTAGTAGCAACTATTTAACGACAATAGGTTAATTGCCACTAAATATGCAGTTTTACCGGCAATTAACACTCTTTATATATGTAACTAAAGCCTATAACAACATTGGATCTAATGACAATTAACTAATATCGAGAAAGACTTTAGCATTCTTTGTTTAATGTACATATTTAGTCCGGTAAAAAATGTTTTTGTCGTAGTGATTCCTTTTATTCTTTCTTGGTTTGAATATTTAGGTAAAGGGATTCAGTAATTTGCTTAGACTCTGACTTAAGTGTCTTGTTTCAGATGATCAATAAAGAATGGTTTATGTTTTTGTTATGTCTGAGAGTTATTTCTTGAACTAATGCATGTTCTGCTTTTAATAGGAGGCAAAAACATTTTTTCTGTTGTTGGGAAGAAGCTAAAAGTCTCTGTTTCTTAAAAAAAGTTAGTTGCTGAATCTTATTTCTTTCACGAGTCATGATCAGCCTATCATGCTAATTATGTTGGTATGATTTTTTTGTTGTATTGATTATTGACGCACAATGGAATAACATCTATCCTGATTACTGTAGTGCAGTTAATTGTCTCTTCAGACATGTTGGAAGCTTCTTCAAACATGGATCCCCCTAGAAATGAAGGGGATATGAAACCAACAAATCTTGAAGAAGTAAAAGAGGAAGGTCCTCTCTTTTCTTGTAATCTATTTGATGCAGAAATGGTTCGAAAGGTAGCACAGGAATTCCTTACAGGATTAGCCTCTGCTTGTGTTGACAACACGACTGGTGGTTTATTCAAGAGCCCTGCTTCTATGGCTGTTGATATCAGAAGAGAAATGGTCGACTATCTTATCCAGAGAAGTGAGACATTCGTTGCTGAATCAGTTGTTTTAGAAGGTGGAACAGAAACCATAGTGTCGGACAACCCTTATGATAACATTTCAGATTTCATCGATGATTTTGGTCAGTCCAAGAGAAATTTTTTTAGTAGGGTTTCAGGTTGGTTACTAAGTGAAAGAAGAGAGGATAGAATAGATGATTTTGTACAAGAAATGGAAATAAATGGCTTTTGGTTGATGGCTAGGAGGGAAACCGTGGCACAAACAGTAATTCGAAACGTTGATTTCAAAAACACCTTTCACTGCAATATGAAGTCTAAGTCTGAAGAAGAGCTTGCGAGACATGTCATTTCATGTGGTTTCAGGGAAATACACTGTGAAAATGAGGGTTGTAATGCAAGATTTAGTGCAGCTCAACATGAACAACATGATTCGGAGTGTCCTTTCAAAATACTTCAGTGTGAGCAGAAGTGCCCAGAAATGCTTATGAGACGTGAAATGGACCGGCATTGTATAACTATTTGTACAATGAAGCTTGTCAATTGTTCCTTTTATCCCGTTGGTTGCCAATCGACTGTTCCGCAATGCAAAGCAGACGAACACCGTAAAGAGAATCTCCAATCTCACTTGGTCTACATTTTAAAACTTATTTACAAGGAAGCATCTTCAGAAGCTCTTAAGAAAAGGGCTCAACAATTGGAACAGGTAAGCTATGAAATGGTTTGTGTAACTTATACTTTTTTCGAGCATTCAATGATTCAAGTGACATTATGTTGTCAGTTTGTTAGATTTTACTGTGCCCAGGGGCAGATCTATGAAGAAGGGTGGATAGTAGAGGAGCTAGGATTTTCATTAAGGGAGCTCATAAGGGGGTCAACTAAATTCAAGAGGAAACACATTTCAGCTATATTTCTGTTGTTGCGAAATTCATGATCATTTGGCCAACTTCTGAGATATTACTTTTTAGATAATAAGAATAACTATAGTAAACAGGCAACATCAGGTGATATGTTCTTTTATTCTCATAAACAGGCAACATCAGGTGGACGATTAGCAGCTGCTCGTGATGCAAGATCATTAACAACTGCAATTAAGAATATTAATGCAAAGCTTGGACCATTGGAGGTTGAGAAAAAGATAGAAGTCAATCCGGAGTTGACAGAACAAAAAGGAGAGGGAACGGATGTATCCAGCAAGAATGAAAAGTCTCCAGACTCACCCAAGACTCAGCATGACCTTGCAGCTACGCCCGCCAAAGTGGAGTCACCTACCAAATCAGTGGATGTTGTGGAACCAACTAGCAAAGCACAAGTGCAAGAAGACTCAATAGATATATCCTACAACAAACATAGGAGCACCGAACCTCTGGTAAAAAATGTATTATCTCCAACAGCGCTTAATGAAGAATCTTCTAAGTCACCTCAAGACGTCACAACTTCCTCATCCAAAAGTGAAGAGTCTACCCTATCCCCCATGAAACACAAAGACTCTTCCTCACCTGAAATCGATACACATGAAACTAAAGATTCTACGCCATCACCCAAAAAACAACATGACTCCACTGCTTCCGCACCCAAAATGAGTACACATGAGCCTAATCCATCACCAAAACAACACCATGACTCCACAGCTTCCTCACCTAAAATGAGTACACATGATCCTAATCCATCACCAAAAAAACACCATGACTCCACAGCTTCCTCACCCAAAATGATTATACATGACTCTACTCCATCACCAAAGAAACACCACGAGTCTACAACTTCCTCACCTAAAACGGGTATGCATGAGTCTACTCCGTCACCAAAGAAACACCATGAGTGTACATCTTCCTCACCTAAAACGGGTAGACATGAGTCTACGACATCACCAATGAAACACCATGACTCCACAACTTCCTCCCCTAAAATGGTTACTCATGAATCTACTCCATCACCGAAAAAACACCATGACTCCACAACTTCTTCACCTAAAGTGAGTACACATGAGTCTACATAATAACCAAAGAAACACCATGACTCTAAGCCTTCACTCGAAATGGAGTATGCAAAAAGTGAAGAGTCTATTCCATCAACCAATAACCAGTAGGACTCAAAAAGAAACGAAGAGCCTAAGTCAACAATCGAAAGTAGATGAACGTGTAACAACCAAATGAAGTACATACTTGAAATAGTCAAACTATGTAGAAAAAATGAAGTTAATTTTGATCTTTATAGCAATCTTTACCTTATAGAAAGAGGAAAAGGTTTTTTCACCATCTGTCCATTGTCAATGGTGGCTAGCTCAATTTTTTTTTTGCAAAACTTATGATTTTATAATCATTTTAGGCTTTGTATAGGTATCCTATATAAATATTATAGTACTTCAGAATCAGGAAAATATTGATACTCAACCACACAAGAAACAACATACAAACATGTATAAAAGAAGACCAAGATCAAGGGAACAAGTGTGCAGCTGAATACGCCCAAAACTCGTCCTAAAAAGGATAAGCAGTAGCTGCAAATATATTTTGGTTTTTAAGTCCGTAGTGAGTCCCACGGACAACTAATATTTAGGTATTCGATATCGCTAACAAATATCAAAGCAATAAAAAAAATATTAACTAAAAGAATGGGTTGACTTCAAGATTATGGAGGCCTAGAGTTATGATTCCCCAATTGTCAGATTATTTCTCACTTCTTTAGCTATAGTTTCATCGAACTAATCTCTAACAAGTAACAATCATGAATTTAACTTAGATTGCGTCAAAGCTTTGTTATAACGGACAAATTGTTTAATGAAACTACCTTTTGAAATTAAGCACCCAGTAATTTAACTTCAAACTTCAATAAACAATCTTTGAATTACAACAAATTATAATCTCTAATTCCCCTAACTCAAAAAACAAGCCCACAAGGCTTATGTACCCAAACAATCTTTGAGTTGCGCCCAACTAGAAGATTAAACTTCACTAAAAATTAACTTAAACTACTTCTCACAAAAACTCACAAAATAAAATCTCACAATTGTTTTTGCAGCACTTAAATAAGTAATCAAAACTCTCTCAACAATTGATTGTGTCTCTCTATATTAAGTGGTGGAAAATCCTTGCTCTATTTATAGACTTCAATAGAGCAAGAATCATTTTCCTGTGTCAACTCTACTTCCATAGGTTTTCCTGTTTCAAAACGATTCTTCTTCTTTTTGTTGCGTTTTATTTGTCCCGATTTCTTACCATAAATAGATTTTCCTTTTAGAAAAAGGTTTTGAATTGACTAATCTTTTTCTTGTAGGAAAAGGTTTAGAACTCTATAAATAGAGGAATGTTAATTCTAACTTAACCAGCATTCACAATGTAGTCTTAAAAGCTTTGAGAGTTTTTGGTTAGGGGGAGAAATTGTAGGTCACAAGCTTGATACGTTATCACTTGTATGAACCTCCCATGTATTATGAGTGAATTTGGTTGAGGTTGTTTCTCTCTGTATTTTGTACTCTCATATTTATAGTGGATTGCTCATCTCCTTTGTGGACGTAGGTCGATTGACCGAACCACGTTAAATCTTTGTGTTTTTTGATATATTTCTCGTTGTGTTCTTACTCGTGGTCTTTCGAGATTTGCATTGCTAGCTTCCACTTTACACCTACTTATTTTCAGTCCTAAAAAGTGGTATCAGAACCAGATTCAATGATGAAGTCAGGTTCAATGGTTCGATAATCGATTATTGAACCAGAGTTAGAAAGAGGTGTTCATCTTGACGAGTGTAATTCTAGCCCCAACCTTTCTTGACAATAATGAAGAATTTCGTTGGAGAAATTGTTTCAGAGAGGTTCTCTATGTTGAGACGTAAATTTTGCAAAGGAGATTATAGAGAGGAGAAACAAGTTGATGAATATTAAGTAAAGAAGGTGGACAAATTTGTTTTTTTAGAAATTCATGCCAAGGGGTTGATTTGTTGGGTTTTATTTGTGCTGATTTCTTACAATAAATAGGTTTTCCTTTTAGGAAAAAGTTTTGGATTGACTAGTTCTTTTCTTCTATGAAAATGTCTAGGATTCTATAAATAGAGGAATGTTCCTTCTAACTTAATCATCATTCACAATGTAGTCTTAAAAGCTTTGAGAGTTTTTGGTTAGAGGGAGAAATTGTGGGTCACAAGCTTGATACGTTATCACTTGTATGAACCTCCCATGTATTATGAGTGAATTTGGTTGAGATTGTTTCCTTCTGTATTTTGTATTCTCATATTTATAGTGGATTGCTCATCTCCTTTGTGGGCGTAGGTCGATTGATCAAACCACGTTAAATCTTTGTGTTTTTAGTATATTTCTCATTGTCTTCTTACTCGTGGTCTTTCGATATATGCATTGCTAGCTTCCGCGTTACACCTGCTTATTTATGGTCCTAACACTTTTAAGGAATTCAATGTGTTTATTCAAATAACACGGTTTAAATACTTTGCTGGTATTCACATTTACATATGATCTAACAAATTCTCCATTTTAAGTAATGACAAATCAGTTAAAGTAATAGCATGGAACAGATGGATCGTTCAGTTCATCAGCTAAAAATATTCTCCATAACAATTAATTGGATGAAGTGAAATTAACAATTCCATCAAAGTTCGATCCATGAAGTTTGCCTCGGTCAGAACCTCTTCTTATGTACGACATCGAAAAGAAGCCTATGTAAGGGAAGCATAGCACCTTTATTGTCACAGTATAATCCTCTAGTGTAGGATCATTTGATAATATTCTACATACTTCCAAGGCATTTGGCAGTCCACGCAATTTCTCTTCACATAATGATAGTAGCACCATCCAGAGTTTTGAATGACAGTACTTCTGAGATAATAGATGTTGTAAGAGTGACTACACTAGAGATAGACGATGTAACAAAGCCAATAACAAGACCAACTCAATTCAAATTCAAACAACAGACAAATCTATTTCACTAACTCGTAATTAGAATTACAAAGGAATTTAGAACTTAGTAGAAATTAAAGACCACAAGTAGAAGAAAAAAGATGATGAGAAGTAGACCTCATAGAAAGGGGATAAGAGGATAGACACTTTTCTCAACAAATTGCATAACCCTCTTTTGCTTTCACTATTGTTTATTTATCAACCCGAATCCCATACATGGACACTTAATTCGGTGTTGGGCCGCTTTGCTAATAATTGTCTAGGACCATTCATAACAATACTCCCAACTCTAATAAGAACATTGTCTTCAATGTTCGAGTAGGCATAAGCATCACCTCGTATAATCAGATTGGCAAGCAACAATGAAGCAACTTCATTGGCAGCCTGTAGTACTATAGCATGGTGGTCTGATTATTGCTTAGCTGCTGATAAACATGGCAAAAATGTATACTAATGTGAGATTTTTCTAAAAGAGCAATGCACCTAATGATATCATCCAAACTTGTCAAAGCACTATTGGCAGCCACATAAGGGAACTTTGACATATTTTGTAGAAGCAATTCACACAGATGCCAAATAGAAGCTGCAATGTCCTTGATCTCATTCCATTCTTTCTTACCATGAGTCCCTTTTTTTATCAAATGAAATATTTCCATGATTGACCAAAATTTAGGTAGTACTGCCATATAATGAGATGCTGAGAATTTCACCAAGGCTACTGATAGGATAAAAACAAGTCCAAATGCACTCGATATATCATAAAAATAGTACTTCGTACCATGCTCAGACTTGTCAATGCTACAATTGTTAACCTCAAAGTACTGAGCAATAGTTGTCAAAGATCTTTTTCCGCCAAATCTCTCCACTAGAACTGATAACAACCAATTACAACCATGTGTTGTGACGAAAAAATGAAAACGAAAATCTAACAATAAAGAACACCAAGTTTAACATGGAAAAACCCTTCAAATCGAACGTAACCACCACAGAATCAACAAGATCCGAATTGCTTCATTATTCCAATAAGAGGGTTGCAAATATTCTTCTAATGTCTATACAACAAGTGCCAAAATAGAACAAACAATAGCTACACTAACAAAAGATAAATAGAAAGAAACACCACCCAAACCCAACTTATGTTCGAGACCTAAAATAGGATCTTGATGACCTCCAAATCCGATCTCCACCATTCAAATCAACCACCAAGATATCCGGAACACCCAGTGAAAATTTCAGCCCGATCCAACAGTTATTTGATTGGAAAACACGATTTTAATATTGTTGGTCGGAGAAAAAGACTGCAGCAAAAAATCTTTTTCCTTCTCTCTTTTCCCTTGTTGAAAGCTCTCTCAATAAAGCACAAGTACGTTGAGAGAATGTTGATTGTTCAACCTATCTAATTTATTTATCACCACCCTCAATTTGTAAGGAACCTTATATGATGTTTTGAATATTATATGTTGAACAAATAACATTCTCTTAGCATACTTGCGCTTTCCCACAAATTACATTGAGGATGTTGATTGAATAACTTTAAATCTTTCTCATACATAATTTATTTCTACCCCCAATGTATGTGGACCCTTAAATGACTTGTTTAAACTTATTAATTGAATAAATTTCAATAATATAGTTTAATATTAGTTAATCATTATCCCTTTTAAATTATACTAGCTACGGTTTATATTAAAGCATCATATTCTAGTAGGTGCAGTAGAAATCATTTGAAGATCATGATATCAACCTGTATATACCTTAATACTGTTAAAGTGTAGATGTAGTTGTTAAAATGTACACCAAGCACATGAACAAGTATTGACTGTCTTTATTATCTATATAATTTATTCAATAGTGACTGTACTCAATCATCCAAATTTTATAGTGGTAAAAACGTACAAATTTCTACTTTTTCAATCTCAACGTCTGATATTTTGACAATTTTTAATGTGTTATTTGGTGAAGTGTATATTAATTGTATTAGTTATAGTTTGATTAGTTAAGCATGGCTTATTTATCATGACTTTTTTTAATTTAGGGAATTAAAAATAATATGCATGAGAAAAATTCACAGTTTTAGTGGGAAAAAATATAAAAATAAATGTTTTGAGAAATATCATTGCATTACCATAAATTTCTATATATTAATTCTGCACACCTTAATGCATAACGAGTGGATTCAATAATAAACAGTAATAGTCAGTGTACAAAATGTATGTCATCAATATAAGATCATGAATAAATTCGATAATTAACATTACATTGGACAAAATACCGGGTCAAAAATACAACACATTCACATCTAGTAGCTTTGTTACAAAAATATAATAAATCAAATCTATCTAAGATTTG